CACAGCTCACAGCAACCTCCAACTCCTGGACTCAAGCGAGTCTCCTGCCTCAGCCTCCCAAGTAGCTGGGACTACAGGCACCCGCCACAGTGCCCAGCTATTTTGTTGTTGTAGTTGTCATTTAGCAGGCTTGGGCTGGGTTTGAACCTGCCAGCCCCAGTGTATGTGGCCAGGGCCCTACCCACGGGTGCCGTGCCAACTTGAGAAGTTGAAACTGACATGAGATCTCCCAGAAAGAATGTGTGGTAAATCCAATGAAGTTCCAGTAGAAGTTGTGAAAGAGTTCATCAAAAAGTTCCCAGACTTCACCAGAGGCTTCAAAGGTGATGACATCTTTCATGCTCACGAATGTGGACTCTTTCAAGGTGATGTTTCCCGGGAGCCTCATCATGAAAGGTAGTGACAATTACAAGAGTGGGGCACATAATGTATATTTTTCTCTATTTTTGACCTTAAGATTGATCAGTGAGTTTATCCTGATCCAACCTTTATATAGTTCCCTAGTCTTTTCCTGAAAGATTTTAGCATCCTTTGATAATTATTGTCTAGATACATTCTTTTATTAAGGGTTATGAAGTGATATTCATATTTTATCACTTCTTTTGAATTGGTAGGATATCTATAAAGAAAACTAATTATTTTGAGGCCCAGCTCATGCAGGATAGGAAGGACAAATGCTTGACTCATGCCTTGTTTCCCAAACATCCTCCAAAGGTTACCAATAAAGATTTTTGTTGTTTTTCAGTATCATTGTGAACTTACAAGTTTAAAATATTTACATGTTTTGAATCATTGCAGCAATTTTGAAATTTTCTGTCATTTCCCTTTGGCTAGAGGTTTCTTAAATCAGTTCCCATGTCCTTAATTACATAATCCTAGTAGTCTTTCAGGGTTTTTTTGCTTTCTGGTATAACAAGGTGTTTCAGGTTTATCTAATATCCTGTTCTCGACCTGGAGACAGCCATTTCTCCAAGGATCTCTTGTTCTTTTTTGTGGGAAATGCTCTTTAGGGATGATAGTCTAGGCACAGACTTAGAAAATTATGAAGTGGGTTCAGAGAAGTCTTATGTTTATTGCTCTTGAAGACACATTAAGATTTCTTCCCTTTGTATTCTTTTTTTTTTTTTTTTGAGACAGAGTCTCACTTTGTTGCCCTAGATACAGTGCTATAGCATCACAGCTCACAGCAACCTCCAACTCTTGGGCTTAAGCAATTCTCTTGCCTCAGCCTCCCAAGTAGCTGGGACTACAGGCAGCCACCACAACGCCCAGCTATGTTTGTTGTTGTTGTTGTTGTTGATGTCATTGTTATTTAGCTGCCCGGGCTGGGATTGAACCTGCCAGCCTTGGTGTATGTAACTGGCGCCGTAACCACAGTGCTACGGGCGCCCAGCCTCCCTTTGTAGTCTTTGGGCATTTCTTTTAGGTCTTTTGAGTGGACTAAACTGGAAAATCCTTCCTTTTTGTTTTTCTTTTTAAAGAGAAAATACTGTATATATTCTCTTTGATTCCTAATTACTTTTTCCCAATATATATATAAATATATATGTATGCGTATATCTATAACAATACCAATCTCACTTCTAGCCACAGAGTGACCGAAAAGATTTAAGCTTTCTTTGGTATATTAGCATATTTCTGTGTTTGGCGAACATTTGGAATAGTTCCTTCTTGTGCTCATTGCAATATAAGTCTTCATCCCTGTTGTCAGTGTATTAGAGTTCTCCAGAAAAACAGAACCAATACAATACTATATACAGAGGTATAAGGGAAGTGGTTCTTGTGATTATGGAAACTGAGAAGTCCCATAATATGCCATGTGAAAGATGGAGACCCAGGAAAGGCAATAGTGTCCATACAGTCCAAGTTCAAATTTTGAGGGAAAGAGTAGATGGATGTCCCAGCGCAAGGAGGGGCAGAATTCACCCTCCCTCCACTTCTCCTCAGGCCATTAGTGGATTGGATGGAGCCCCTGGTCTTTTTCCAAATAATGTTTATCATCTGTTGGGCATCACTTGGCCCCCTCAAGTTGACACATAAGATTAACCATCATAAGGCTGGGCACAATGGCTCGTGCTTGTAATCCTAGCACTCTGGGAGGCAGAGGCAGATGGATTGCTTGAGCTCACAAGTTCAAGACCAGCCTGAGGCTCGGCGCATGTAGCTCAAGCAGCTAAGGCACCAGCCACATACACCAGAGCTGGCCCGTTTGAATCCAGCACAGGCCTGCCAAACAACGACAACTACAACCAAAAACAAACAAACAAAAAATAGCCGGGCATTGTGGTGGGTGCCTGTGGTTCCAGCTATTTGGAAGGCTGAGGCAAGAGAATTGCTTAAACCCAGGAGTTGGAGGTTGCTGTGAGCTGTGATGCCACAGCACTACCGAGAGCAATAGCTTGAGGCTCTGTCTCAAAAAAAAAAAAAAAAATAGCCTGAGCAAGATTGAGACCCCCATCTTTTTTTTTGAGACAGAGTCTCACTTTGTTGCCCTAGATACAGTGCTCCTAGATACATCTCCACTAAAAGTACAAAAACTGAGGCAAGAGGATCGCTTGGGCCCAAAAATTGGAGGTTGCTGAAAGCTATGATGATGCCACAGCACTCTACTCAGGGTGACAGTTTGAAACTCTGTCTCAAAAATAGTAAGATTAACCATCACAGTATTTCTTTTGGATTGCTGAATCATACCATGAAACCATGTTTTGGTTATCCTGTCTTCTGTTGATGGACATTTGGTTGTCTTTCTAGTTTGTCTTATGAATGAAGCCGCTTATGAACATCACTGTACACGTTTGTTTTCATTGTTCTCACATACTGTATATACCAAGGAGTAGAACCGCTGGGTCATAGGGTATACAATGTCCTAAAGTATTTGCATCATTTGTGAAACAGCATTTATCAGGAAAAAAGAAATACGGAGAAACCTGATATTTAAGAGAGACACAGAATCCACTGCTTTCTAAAACAGACTGATCATCTGACTTATCAGGGAGCTTACAAAAATGTAGGCCTGGTGGAGCCAGGCATGGTGGCTCACGCCTGTAATCCTAGCACTCTAGGAGGCCGAGGTAGGTGGATTGCCTGAGCTCAGGAGTTCAAGACCAGCCTGAGCTAGAGTGAGACACCATCTCTAAAAATAGCCAGGTGTTGTGGCAGGTGCATGTAGTTGCAGCTACTTGGGAGTCTGAGACAAGAGGATCACTTATGCCCAAGAGTTTGAGGTTGCTGTGAGCGATAATGCTATGGCACTCTATTAAGGGTGACAAAGTGAGACTCTGTCTCAAAAAAAAAAAAAAAATGCAGGACCAAAGATCCCTCTGCTGGGTATTCTGAATCAGAAGGCCAAGAATATGTACCCTTGAAACAACCAGCTTATCTAAATTAGTCTTTTCCCTTCTAAACTCTAAATCCTAGCCATGATTTAAGAGACCATCTAAAAGCTACATACGCAGATTACATCATGCTAGCTTCCCGCAGAAACCGTCTTTCCAGGAGTACACAGTCTTCTTGCCAACTTGCAACTATTTCTATACTTTCATAAAACCATCAACCAGTATTTACATAAGACTGTCCATTCTTTTTTCCAAAAATGCCTAGAAAAGTTGGCTCCTAGAGGAACTTATGTGTTCTTTTTTATCGAGTAAGAGCTGTGCATCCTGAGGTATTTGTTTCCTGGCTTTCTTGGGAGCTCACAGGTTATTAAGTTCCATTTGGGAATGTACCCCATTTCTAAAGGTCCGTTGTATGTCTCCGCCTTACACTTTAAAATGCCAAATTTCGTTTTTAAAAAGTGTTTATAACCACATCTAGTAATAGAGTTATAATTTCATAAATCCTGCTGTAGGCACTGAGCAGTTCCAAATTCTCCAAAATGTTCTAGAAGCCAATAGATGAAAAACAGAAATTTCAGTTATTTGCAGGAGAGACCTGGTTGAGTTCGCGCCCCACTAAGTAACCAGCGCCAGCGTAGAGTCCAACATCCAGCACATGCTCAGTAAAAGTCTGGCGAAAGAATGAATCAGGAAGGGAATCCGAGAGAATCGCTGAACACCCAGCTCCGGGCTGGTAGAAATCAAGTAGCCGGCGGGAGGCGGCCGGGCGGGGCGGGGCGGGGCGTCCTTGGGGCCCCTCCCATACTGGGCGGGGCCTGCGGCGCGCGGGAAGCTACGCGCGCAGTGGCGGGAGGTGAAGACGCTGCTGACTGACCGCGTCCCTCCAGGTACGGCTTCCCAGGGCTGGCTCCGGCGGCCCTGCGGTTCTCCCAGCAGGGGCGGGAGGGAAGGCTAAAGGAAGGCCGCTGGGGCCCTAGACAGCTCGGAGAGGCGTGCGTCCGGGCGGCCCCGGCTCTGCGCGGCCTCCTCACTCCATCCCCTGGCCCGGCTTTCCGGGTCTATGACGGGTCCCTGGGAAGTGAGGGTCTCCTCTCGCCCCGCAGCCCCAGGCCCTTCCCAGGTGGTCCTCCGTGAGACCCCTCCTCCCTCCTAAAAGACCCCCCTCCCGCTCGGGCAGCCCTTTCCGGAGGCGCCCCACTCACCCCTCCCTCTACCGAGCCCCTCCTCCGGCTCTTCCAGCGGTCCCCTGCCCCCACTAAGCCGGGGCGGGAGGTGGAGCTTGCCGGGGGTCCCAGAATTGTCTCCGCCTGGCCTTTCTGCGTGAAGCAGGGGAATCGTGAAATCGTGCAAACCACGTCTCAAGGAGCCTTTTAGACTGAGCTGGCGAGATGTTACCATCTCGCATGTTACCATCGGGCGGCCCCATTATCGTCGCTTCCGTGTACTGGCGTGCGTTTTAGCAGTTTGCGGGGTGCCGGGCTCTTAGCGCTCAATAACCCTTTGCTGCTGTGCGACTGTTATTTCATTACCAGCATTTTGCAGCTTTCCTCTGTCGTTAGCAAAAGAACGCTGCCCGACTTCTTTGCCCCTTCGAGACCTAGGAGTATGAAAGTCATCACGTGCGAGATAGCCTGGCACAACAAGGAGCCGGTGTACAGCCTGGACTTCCAGCATGGGGCTGCCGGGAGGACGCACAGGCTGGCGTCCACTGGCGTGGACACCGCCGTCAGGGTATGTGGGAGCTGTGACTTGAAGCAGCAGTTGTCATCCTTTTATTTAAAACTGTCAACAAACCCAAATACTTTGTCATCTATCTCAGAATGCTAAATTCTCAGGGCCTCGGGTGAATGATGAAAGTAAAGAGTGCTGCTGTCTCTCTGAGTAATATTCTGGAGACTGTCATAACTGTGCCCTTTGCTTTAGAATCCGGATCTGGGTTCCTATTGGGTAACACTTTGCTCTAGAACGGCGGTTCTCAACCTGTGGGTCGCAAACCCTTGTTGAATGACCCTTTCACAGCGGTCGCCTAAGACCATCCTGTGTATGAGATATTTACATTACGATTCATAACAGTAGCAAAATTATAGTTATGAAGTAGCAACGAAAATAATTTTACAGTTGGGGGGTCACCACAACATGAGGAACTATATTAAAGGGTGGCAGCATTAGGAAAGTTGAGAACAAACTGCAAAAGAAGTAGGGATGACAGCAGACAGTGGGACTCTGTTGAGTTATGTTATAGGTAGGAGAGGTTCCTTCATTTTACATTTCAAAAGAAAACCTCAGTTGTCTTCCTGAAGGTGAGCATAGTACTGTTTTAGTAGGAACAAAATAGTAGGTGCTGCATGGTTTTGAGTGAAGGTTTTGGTATCAACAGATCTGGAAGGTAGAAAAAGGACCAGATGGAAAAGCCATAGTGGAATTTTTGTCCAACCTTGTTCGACATACTAAGGCGGTCAATGTTGTGCGTTTTTCTCCAACTGGGGACATTTTAGCATCAGGAGGAGATGGTGAGTATTGCTGTGCTTCAGAAATTCTCTAGAAACTAGATACCTGTATGTCTCATGTCAAATCATGAGATTTGAGCTGCATGTACCTTTTTATTTTAGGTACAGCTGACTCTCTTAGAGAGTCAGTTTGCTAAAATTTTGTTCCGGGAGGTGTGTTAAAAAGAGGGGATGGAGGGCAGCAATACTAAACTGAGAAGACCTATTTGAAAATAGCTCTTTTCCCACCTGGCTGGTTTGGAGACAGGAAAGATGCTTGTCATTTCTGTAAGACTGTTCTGGTCTTATGTGGTTGTTACTTTAGTATCTGTGGTGATCACAGTTGGTACCCTGTCTCTTTGTAATTAGGTAATGAATTGGCTTCAGGAGTATTCTTTAACGAATGGCTTTGTAATTTGTATTTGTTTGATTGGAGTGGATTAATTCATATTTTCTGTCTGTGCAGAAAAAGTAAACCTTTTTACTATACTTCAAAACAGTCTAGAAACCAAAATGAAACAGAAATCTCAGTTTTTGCTTGCAGAGGAGGAAAAGTGACCTGGTTGAGTTCAGTGCCATGATGTGTGTGTGTGTGTGCACTCACACAGAGGGAAAGGTGAGGAGTGGGAAGGTGACCTGAGGGTGGCCACAGGCTGTCTCTCATGACGTTGCAAGTGACAGCCCTCATTTTACAAAGTCCTTGAGCCTTGAAGGCCTAGAAACCACTGAGAGTTTGCACCTGTCAGAGCCAAGCTCATCTTAACCAAGTTCCCGTGCTAATATGTGCAGCCAGGAGTCTGGTTAATTTAGAACTGAAATATATATGTCCATACAACCTGTTCGTTCACTCTCCTGTGGACATTCCTAAAAGGAAAGCCACGCCATGGTGAGAAGGTTACATGGTAAGTGTGGAGTCAGAATGTGGGGAATTAGCAGACTCAGACAGTTGGTGACATCAGGCTAAGTATCTGATGTGTCTGTTATGACATTGATAGTTAATACTGATATGGAGCTTAATGTGTTGCTTTACCCAAATTGATCCATTTAAGCCTCACAACAGTGCTGTGAGGAAGTGAGGAAACAGGCCTCAAGACATTAAATGACTTGCTAAAGGTTATTCCTCTAGGAACGGTTTGCCAACTTTGTATTGGTGGCTTTTTGTTCTTTTTCTGTTTTTTAATTTTTTTTTCCTGTTTATTTATAGGTTATATGCCTTTAGATTTGTTAATATAGCCAGGCACTTTGCAGTGGCATTTTGATGGCTTGGGGCCCCTTCTGTGTAACGTGACTTTGTATAGCTCTCATCTGTGATTCGATTTTGGAGTTTTAGTTTATAAGGCAGACCTACTTTTTCTGTTCACATTCATAGAAGTAAATCATGTGACTCTTGTGTCCATTGAACAATCTAAGTGTTGTTAAAAACCTAAAAATTCAGGAATGGTGGAGTGTGTGGTGCAGCTTGTCTCATTTTTAACTGCGTCCCTCCACAGATGCTGTCATCCTGCTGTGGAAGGTGAATGACAACAAGGAACCAGAGCAGATTGCCTTCCAGGATGAGGAGGAGGCTCAGATGAATAAGGAGAACTGGGCTGTCATAAAAACCCTGAGGTAACTGGGGGTCATAGAAATAATTTCTCTTTACCATCAGAGTATATTAAGTGGAATATCCTTTTTTTTTGAGACAGTCTCAATGTGTTTCCCAGGTTGGTCTTGAACTCCTGACCTCAAATGATCCTCCTGCCTTAGCCTCCCAAAGTGCAGAGATTATAAGGGTGAGGCACTATGCCTACCCTGCCCTTTGACTTTTTTTTTAATTAATTATGTTTTATTAAATCATAACTTTATACATTGATACAACTTTTGTGGTTTTTTTTGAGACAGAATCTCAACTTTGTCACTTTGAGTAGAATGCCATAGCATCATCATAGCTCAGAGCAACCTCAAACTCTTGGGCTCAAATGATTTTCTTGCCTCAGTTTTTCTACTTTTAGTAGAGATGGGGTCTCTCTCTTGCTCAGGCTGGTCTTGAACTCCTGAGTTCAAGCAATCCACCCATCTCAGCCCCTCAGCTTCCCTCTGACTTTTGTATCTTACTTAAAAATTTTATTTCTGGTTGGGCAAGGTGGCTCACACCTATAATCCTAGTACTCTGGGCTGAGGCAAGAGGATCATTTGAGCTCAGGAGTTCAAGACCAGCCTGAGCAAATAGAAACCCCAACTCTGCTAAAAATAGAAAAATTAGCTGGGGATTATGGTAGGCACCTGTAGTCTTAACTTCTGGGGAGGCTGTGGCAGGAGGATCACTTGAACCCAGAAGTTTGAGGTTGCTGTGAGCTAGATTGATGCTGGGACACTATAGCTTGGGCAACAAAGTGATATTCTGTCTTAACAAAACAACAAAAACAAAAATGAAAAAACTTATTTCTATGAGTCATAAGACAATAGTTTTAAAGGATTAAAAACAGTCAAAATGGATATTTTTAGTTTCTGTTATAAAATTATCCGTAGGCTCAGCGCCTGTGGCTCAAGCAGCTAAGGCGCCAGCCACATACCCCTGAGCTGACAGGTTCAAATCCAGCCCGGACCCGCTAAACAACAATGACTGCTGCGACCAAAAAAGAGCTGGGCGTTGCGGTGGGTGCTTGTCGTCCCAGCTACTTGGGAGACGGAGGCAGAATTGCTTGAGCCCAGGAGTTGGAGGTTGCTGTGAGCTGTGATGCCATGGTACTCTACCCAGGGCAACAGCTTGAGGCTCTGTCTCAAAAATAATAAAAGAGAAGAAAAGAAAAGAAAATTTTCCTTAGTAAAAATGAATCTGTTTTAAAGATACAGGGATAGTCCTTAAGAGTTATTTATAGCTAGTTATAGTTCCAGTGGAAATTTCTGGAATATTATTTTAATGCATGGTCTCTGAGTTTGCCTTTAAATTTTTAATAACTTTTCCATTTTTAAGTCAAAAATTGCTTTTTTTTCCTGTTTATCTTTGGATTCTAGGGGCCATTTAGAAGATATATATGACATTTGCTGGGCAACTAATGGTAATTTATTAGCTTCTGCCTCTGTGGATAACACAGCCATCATATGGGATGTCAGTAAAGGTAGGTGATTTTTTTTGTTATTATCAGTAGGAGGGAATATTCTAAGTATCTTTAAAAGGCTAACATGGACTGGGCAAGGTGGCTGACGCCTGTAATCTTAGCACTGTGGGGGAATGCAGGTGGATTGCCTGAGCTCAGGAGTTTGAGACCAGCCTGAGCCAGAGGGAGACCTTATCTCTAAAATAGCTGGCCATTGTGGTGGGTGCCTGTAGTCCCAGCTACTTGGGAGGCCGAGGCAAGAGAATTGCTTAAGCCCAATAGTTTGAGATTGCTGTGAAGTATGATGCCATGATACTCTGCCAAGGGCAACAAAATAAGACTCTGTCTCAAAAAAACCCCAAAAAACAAAAAACTAATGTGCTTTAACTTTAAAAACAACACAAAAACTTAGCGTTAGTGAGCTAAAATAGGTTGTTGGCTCAACAGGATGGGGATTAATCCCATATGCCATGGATCCAACTTAGTTTTTAGGGCCTCAGTGAGCGTATAAGAGATTTAGCACTGGTGGGGAGGTAGGCAGGTCCCACTAGGCTGGGGATACAGACAGGACAGGCATGATCCCTGCCTTCATGGAGCTTAGGGTCTCAGCAAGATTAATGTCGTTTATAATTACTAGGGCATTGTGTGCTGGTTGTTGGGGGTAGATGGATCAGGTTTCTATTTTAGGAGACCAAGGTAAGCCAAGGACATTCTGCTGCTAGAACATTCTGTTCTCTAGTTGGGGAGACAGTAGACATTCAAAAAGTTAAAATGATACACAAATAGCAGCAAAATGCCAAAAGCTAATAGTGGCTAGTTCTTAATCATTTTATCCGATGCCAGAATTCTTGCAGGTAATTCTCCCACAACCCAAATGCCCAGACTGGAAGTTGGGAAGTGTAGGTGGCGTTTGCTGCCACATCAACACTGTGCTGATCCCATTTTCATTCACTTAGAAAGTCTCTGTTCTTGTTAGTTCCATGCCATCCCTCTGTCCTGCCTTGTCTCTGGCCATACTCTTTCTATTCAGTCCCTAGCATTCTGGCAACATGGAGGACTAGCGTCACTGTCTAGCCCCAATTTGGGCATTTCCTGGATAATTTCAATGTCTGTGTGGATAATCCATCCAGTAACCTGTTATACCAATTGTAATGACCTTGAACATCACCAGTGTACTGGGTGCTACTGTGGTGCTGGAAACAATAGGAACAAAATGGCTATATTGTACTGGGGCTGGCAGATAAAAACACCATGGACATGACATCAAGTGGGCACACGAAGGGCTCTCATGGAAAGCTCTGAGCATTTGGCATCTGAGCAGAGACCCAGATGAAGTGACGGACAAGCCGTGGGTGTCGCTCAGGGGAAGCACTTTCTGTCCTGTGCAGGAGTCACTTATGCATCTGAGAATGAGAATGCATGGAATAAATGAGGGGTCAGTGTGAGCACCTGAGACCAAGGAGGAAGCAAGGGTCTGATCATCCAGGCTGTGGGCCATGGGAAGGAGTTTAGATTTTATCCTGAGTGTGTTAGGTTGCCATGGAAGGGTTTTCAATAATTGAGTTTTGGGATTTTGTTTATCTCTTACAGGCATGTCTCTGGGTGGCATATGGCACACAGGCAGTAGGAGAGGGGGATGGCAGGGGAGCTGTCAGTGGTGTGCCCTAACTCAGGGGGAAGGATTGGTTGGGGCTTGGACTCAGGCCATAACAGAAGAGTGGAGAAGGTTCATTTGAGACATAATTTAAAGAAAGAACTGACAGGATTGGCTGACAGATGGGCCATAATTCCAAGATTTTTGGCAACTAGGTGCATGTTGGTGCTATATCCCAGGGTTAAGAATGCTGTGGGGGGAGCAGTTTTAGCAGGGTGTCTGGAAATCAGGCCAGATCCGAGACCTTTGTCATTTTAACTGCTCTATCAGGTTCAGTCAGTCTCAGGCAGACATAATGCTCCTTTGCCAGAACCACAGGCAGTTTTCTGACACCTTCCTCACACTCTTCTTCCCAGAGCCACACTTTTTTTTTTCTTTTTCAGTTTTTGGCCGGGGCTGGGTTTGAACCAGCATATGGGGCCAGCACCCTACTCCTTTGAGCCACAGGTGCTGCCCAGAGCCACACATTCTGCACCAACTCCTGTGTCTCCTGGTCTGTCAGCCCCCTGGCCTCTGTTGTGTTTCCTCCCTAGCTTGCTCCACCATGGTCCTGTGCCAACAAAGTCCCCTCCGACCCCTTCATGGTCCTGTGCCTACAAAGTCCCCTCCGACCCCTTCATGGTCCTGTGCCAACAAAGTCCCCTCTGACCCCTTTTCTTCCATTTTACCCACCAAGACAAAGCCCAGGGCGGGACCCATGTTACAGTGTATCTTTTAATTTTCTGATTAAAAACCCTCAGCCCTGCAGATTGGGCCATTATGAATTCATCCTTACCAACCTCAGATGGGGTGTCTGTGACTTCTCCTGCCTCCCATTCACTTGTCAGGGTCCTGCCCCTCCCCTTCCCTAGCAGCTACTTCCCACCACCTGGGTCTCCTCAAGCCCTTTTCTCAAGTCCATCCACCCTGTTCCTGGCAGATTTTCTGGACATTTCAAGGAGAGAGGAATGCCATCCAGGGTGTGGGGTTGGGGTGTAGGTAGGCTGACACATGTTGGTTGATTTTATACAGGTGGGTCACTGGCAGCTTGAGGGTGAGCAGTGAAGTGGGCTATAGGGAGTGACCACCATGTTGCAGTGTTCTATGGGAACGGAAGGTGAGGGGCTGGTGAAGTGAGCAAGGTGCCTCCTTAGAGAGGAGGGCTTTGTCGTTTGCTTTTTAAAGAGGCCTCATAACTCCTCTTTTTATCCTGATGCTTTCTTTCCATCTGGTTTTCCTGCTAAACATTCCCCTGAGGTCCCTCTTTTGTCCTTGCAGCCATCACTCTGGTCAGGCCTTGTCATCTTCCACCTGGCCTGCTGCATCACCTCACCATCTGTTGTAAACCTAAGCTTCGTCTCTACAATGCAGATCACTTCTGAGCTTAGTGTTCCTTTCAGTCCAGAGCTTTTCCTTATGCACAGGTCTCTGGAGTATTCTCCCCTCCCCCTTTCCCCTTCCCCTACCTTTCCCTTTCACCTGCCCTCCTCTGCCCTCCACCTTACCCTATAGCAGTTCTGTCCCTTCTCACTGCTCCAGATTTGCTGTGTGGAGCTATTTTCACCTCACGAACTTTCTTGGGATGCCTTTTCCTCCTCATTCCCTGGTCCCTTCTTCATCCTGCTAACCTGGAGGAGTGAACTGAGGTCCTCTCAGCCGTGCACCCTGCCTTATCAGCGCCCCTCCTCCTGGGTCTGCTGACAAGGGTTTGATCTGGGAGCCCTCGGGGTGGGACTGTATGAAGTCATCTGCTCTCAGGGCCTGACACGGGGTTTGCACATACAGAGCTTCTCAGGTACTGCCAGCTGAGGGATAAACAGTATATAGGGAACAGTGTTTAAGTTGTACTTTATGACATTTACCAAGTAGCTTTTGTAATACCTTTGTGTGCTTTTTTCGTAGGACAAAAGATATCAATTTTTAATGAACATAAAAGTTATGTACAAGGAGTAACCTGGGATCCTTTGGGTCAGTATGTTGCTACTCTGAGCTGCGACAGGTACTTGAGTATTTGGCAAACTGTCTTTGTATTTTCTTAGAATCCTCTGCAGAATTATTTTTATCCCAATGTAACCAAGATTTATCATAGTTTAGCTTTGATTTTTTTTGTTCTTGTTTTTAACATGTGAGTATACAACATATTACAACATAATAAGAAGTTGGAAGCAGGGCAGCACCCGTAGCTCAGTAGGTAGGCTGCTGGCCACATACACTGAGGCTGGCTGGGCCAGTTAAAACAACAATGACAACTACAACCAAAAAATAGGTGTTGTAGTGGGCACCTGTAGTCCCAGCTACTTGGGAGGCAGAGGCAAGAGAATCGCTTAAGCCCAGGAGTTGGAGGTTGCAGTGAGCTGTGATGCCACAGCACTCTACCCAGGGTGACAGCTTGAGACTCTGTCTCAAAAAAAAAAAAAAAAAAAAAAAGAAGTTAGAAGCTAATGAGGGCAAGTGCCTTACACAAAGTTAATACTTGTTAAATCTTTATTGAATAGGTAAATAAGTAGAAAGAGCTTTCTGAAATTAAATCAACTTTGAAATACATTTCATTTCACAGGAAACTTAAAAAATCTTTTATGAATGTGGCTTAATCAAGAAGAGGTTTGGACTAATTATTTCAGTTTTTGATTGTAGTTTACTGATACTGTGATTTTAATGACTTCATTTAAATTGATATAAAAATAAATACTTTTTGGCTTTTCTGAAAGGAAGCCTTATTGGTATGTTACTGGTATAGTTGCATTTAATTGTGTTCTTGGAACAAAGAGTTAAAAAATTATCAAGAATGTCAAGTGTATTACATAACAGAGTAATTTTTTTTTTTTTGAGACAGAGTCTCATTTTGTTGCCCTTGGTAGAGTGCTGTGCATCACAGCTCACAGCAAACTCCAACTCCTGGGCTTAAGCGATTCTCTTGTGTCAGCATCCCAGATAGCTGGGACTACAGGTGCCCGCCACAATGCCTGGCTATTTTTTGGTTGTAGTTGTCATTGTTGTTTGGCAGGATTCGAACCCACCAGCTCTGGTGTATGTGGCTGGCACCTTAGCTGCTTGAGCTATAAGTGCCAAGCCTGTTCTTTTGAATATTTATCCAACTACTTTTAATTAAGACATTGAATTTAAGATAGACCTGGAATAAAAGCAATATGGAAGACTTAGTGTTTATTTTTCATAGAATCTTCTATTGTATTCTACATGCCATTTATTTTCTGATATGTATGTTTTAGTCAGGCAATCAGGAGTAAAAGAGTGATTAGTTAATGGAAGTAATACTACTTCTCAAGAACAAAACTGGCCTACTGGTGCTTTCCTTACTCTTTCAAATCACAAAATGAACTTCACTGTAGTTGTAACAAACTAAACCAAATGTCCAAGACCTAAAAAGTAAGGCTGAGCCTGAAGTATGTCTTATTTAGCAGTCAAAACATTCAATGAAAAAAATTTTAGTTGACATTTTACTCTTTAGGTTGTTGTTATTTGTCTTTTTAGTAATTTAACTAATTACTTAGTTAAGTCTGAACATTGTTGGTAAATAGTTTTGTGGGCTGAAAATTGTTTAGGTAGTCTTCAGTGTTAGCCGTAGATTGTTTTTGTGTGAAACATAATTCATTTACTTGAAGTTGTAAATCAGACCTGGGATTTTTTGTTTTTGTTTTTCAGAGTGCTACGTGTGTACAGCATGCAGAAGAAACGTGTGGCTTTTAATGTTTCAAAGATGCTGTCTGGAATAGGGGCTGAAGGAGAGGTATGAAATATTTTGACATTGTCTTGCAGCAGTACTTTGAGACTTAGGAAGTCATGAGCTCCTATACCCCTGCTGCTGGATGACTGGCCTCTAGAATTGGATTCCTGGACTATAGGAAGGTGATGGGCTTGTCTTTGTGGTAAAGGGGGTGTCCAGGGACTGGGGAAGAGCTGATGATAGAGGATGGTGTGCTTGGCTGTGCTGCAGAATGACCTGGAAATCATTGCAAGTGTGGGTGCCTGTGCTATCATCAGTGGTGAGAAGCAGTTGGCTTGAGGCAGGCAGGGCCTCCATGATTCCCAGGTGTAGTGAGGTCACTCTCCCCTGATTTGGTATGATCCCTGCACTTGGCAGCAGAAGGCAGATGAATTGAGCATTGTAGGTGTCTGGCAGCAGGCAGTGTACCATCTTGGCAGGTAAATAGAGAACTCTGGTAGCAGACAACAGAGACTCAGCCAGAGGGTGAGTGTTTAGGCAGAGGATGGACTTTGCACTTTTTTTTTTTTTGAGACAGTCTAACTCAGTCACCCTGGTTACAATGCTATGGCATCAGCCTAACTCATAGCAACTTTAAACTCCTGAGCTCAGGCAATCCTCTTACCTCAGCCTCCCCAGTAGTTGGGACTACAGATGCCCACCACAATGCCCAGGTAATTTTCCTATTTTTAGTAGAGGTGGTCTCGCTCTTGCTTAAGCTGGTCTGGAACTCCTGAGCTCTGGCAAGCTACCCACCTTGGCCTACCAGAGTGCTAGGATTACACATGTGAGCAACCACACCTGGCTAGGACTTTGCACTTTGACAGAATTGGCAAATGGAAATAAGACTCTGGTTCTAGAGGAATCAAAACAACTAAGGCAGGCACTTAGGTGAATGTAGGAGCAAAAAGAGACTTGGCACAAATCCAGTCTGACAGTACCTGGGTGAGGCAGTGTGAGCTATGAGCTGACGGTGCTATGAGTTCACATTAGTTAAGTGGGGACAGTAACTAATGCCGGCTGCCTTCAGTTCTTGAGAATTAAATGTTTAATGTTACCAGTGAATAAATGATAGTAAGAACTTTCTATACAAAGTGTTCAAGAAATGTTGTTTGAAAAGGTTATATATGATTACCAGTTTAATAATCCTTATTTTCTTTTCAAAAAGTGTGCATTCAGTTGGAAGTTCTAAATATGTACACACAGGTCAAGAGCATAGGTCTCCTAATCATCTTCCCACTGTCTCCCTCATCTCACTCCTCAGACAAACGACTACTGACATTATGGTGTGTTTTTAACAGAGTTTTAAAAAATTATAGACCCCCCCACATATATAAATATATACACACATCTTTACTTAGCAAAAATGGGTGATCAGTTTTCACAAATGATTAATCTTGCAGTCTTGCATGGTTATTTGATTTTTAGTATGTTTTAGTTTGATTTATTATCATGTCAATAACAAATGACATGTAAGGCAAAACATCCAGAAGCATAGAAATTGGTAAGCCTTTATCATGAGTGTAAAGATCTGAACTAATGTTTAAACTTTGTATGCACCAGGCAAGAAGTTACCGGATGTTTCATGATGACAGCATGAAATCATTCTTTCGTAGACTCAGTTTTACTCCCGATGGCTCTTTACTCCTCACACCGGGTACGTTTCACAGTGTTTGATTTAAGGGCGTGATGGCAAAGTGGGAATGTTGGACTCTAGTTTTGTGATGCGTCTTTTCAGTTCATTGACCTCTGATCGGAGCAGTGGTCCCTAACTTGCCTATACATTGGAACTTCCAGGGAAGCTGCAGAAAGATACTAGTACCTGTACCCCAGAGATTGTAGTTTAATTGGTCTGGGATGGGTAGCCTGGCTTTTGGAATTTTAAAAAGATTTCCAAGTGATTTGATTAAAGTGATAGGTATTATCTCTTAGATGAATTGAATGTTTTTCTTTCTTTTGTTTGAGAGAGCGTCTCACTTTGTCAACCTTGTCACAGCTCAAAGCAACCTCAAACTCATGGGCTTATGCAGTTCTCTTGCTTCAGCCTCCCAAGTAGCTGGACTACAGGCGCCTGCCACAAAACCTGGCTGCTTTTTTTTTTTTGCCATAGGGTCTTGCTCTGGCATAGGCTAGTCTTGAACTCGTGAGCTCAGGCAATTAGCCTCCCAAATGCTGGGATTTCGGGTGTGAGCCACTGTACCTGGCCCTGATAAATTTAACTTTTAAAAATTTTACTACTTAAGCTTTTTAGGAGTGCTTTTTTTTTTGCTAGATTGATGATTTTAACACCAAAGATAAGATTCCTTTATTGTTTTTATTCTCTTTAAGAACGAAGCAACCTGTTGTGGCAGGATTAGACACAGGACAGCTTTGGTTGGACTAACTTCGGGGGAGGGGGACCAGTGGTCAAATCTGAGAAGTCAACAAATTAGCAAGCACAAGATAGGTTGATTATCTCTAGGTGCCAAGAGACTAAGCCCAACAAGATTAAGGCTGGGCAGCATTGTGGCCAGAGTATTCTCGAGAAGAATCTGCTAATCTTCATGGTTCTTGAACCATCCTATGTATAAAGACAATGACATAACCCAGGGTTGGGCCTAATAGGAGGGGGCACAGGTCAGCTTTGTCACTAAGAGTCCCAGCCAAGCTGGGCCAGGGAGGGTCCAAGAAGGGCATGGATGATACAAACCTCTGTATGGGTTAGTCTTTGGACCACTGGGGAACGGGAATAACTTTGGCTCAGGGAGTCTCTGGACCAAGAATAAGTATTTACCAAAAGTTTATTATTAAAGTTGTTCAGTAAACAACTCTAAACAACTCTAAACAACTCTAAACATATTTTTAGTTAAAATAAGGTACCAGGTAGGTGCCTGCTATCAGTTATTGTTCTCTGTGGTGCTTGTAGGTATAGGAGAGCAGGAAAATGAAATTATAAAGATTGGAAAGGAAGAGATAAACTTCCTATCTGTGGTAGGATTATATTTCTAGAAAATTTGAGAGATTTAAAAAATACTACTGATTGGCAGTGCCTGTGGTTCAGTGAGTAGGGCGCCGGCCCCATATACCGAGGGTGGCGAGTTCGAACCCCACCCCAGCCAAACTGCAGGAAAAAAATAGCTGGGCATTGTGGCGGACACCTGTAGTTCTAGCTACTCAGGAGACTAAGGCAAGAGAATCATCTAAGCCCAAGAGCTGGAGCTTGCTGTGAGTTCTGACGCCACAGCACACTACCAAGGGCAATAAAGTGAGACTCTGTCTCTAAAAAAAAACTACTGATTAAAAAAATAATTTGATAAAGTGGTTGGATATTGTGAAATACATGAAAATCTTATCTTTTTCTCTATGTTAGCAGTAAGTACTTAGAAATGGAAAGAGGATATGCCATCCACAGTGCAATTTATTTATTTAGTTAGTTAGTTATTAATGAATTTAATAAGAAATGTACAGGGCCTTTAAGAAGAAGAGTAGAAAGTCTTGTTGAAGGTAACAAGTTCTGAACACAAGGGAACATGTATCACATTCTAAAAATTAACACAGGGCCACACCTGTGGCTCAAAAGAGTAGGGCGCTGGCCCCATGTGCCAGAGGTGGCGGGTTCAAACCCAATCCCAGCCAAAAACTGCAAAAAAAAATAAATAATTAACATGACAATTTAACTTCCAGTTCGAATCCCATTAAGGGTGTGTGTGTGTGTTTTTGTCAGTACCATATGCTAACCAATTGTGCAACTGAAGCTCTATGTGTGTATTTTTAATTAGATGCAATCTCAGCTTTGTTTGATAGAATGAATGCTGACAAATAGCTAAGAAAGAATGAAAAAAAAAGACTAAAACTTTAGAGGGCATTTGCCTCACCAAATGTCAGAAAGATAGTGTGACACTACTTTAATCAAACCAATACGGTATGCATATAGGACTAAATTGGTAAGTTAGTGGACCAGAACAGAGAATCCAGAAGGAGATCGCAGATGTAAGGCAATTTAATATATGACCGTAGGTGGTATTTCGGTGAGAAAAATATCTTATTTATTTATAATTGTACATTACTTAAATAATTTTTGAGAAAATTAGACATTCAAGACAGATAGGACAAAAATGTCATTTAGGAGTCTGGGAAATATTGAGATTGGACAAGGAGGACCTATTCTTCTTTTTTTTTTAATTGGCAGATAAAATTATATAGCCAAGCCTCAAGTTATGAATGAGATCATTTCTGTAGGTTTGTTCTTAAATTGAATTTGTGTGTAAGTTGGAACAGGTACATTTACTTATTACCTGTTATGGCCTTCGTTTATAAATGTGAGTCATACATCAGTTGGACGTATGCATTATGTTATCTAGTTAATGACTTTTGTGGTGAGAACACTTAGTATCTTAGGCTTTCCAAGAATACAATACACAGTTATTAGCTCTAGTCACCATGTTGTGTAATAGACCCCCCTTTTTTTTAAATTAAATCATAGCTGTGTGTACATTAATGCAATCATGGGGTACAACGTGCTAGTTTTATATACAATTTGAAATATTTTCATCAAACTGGTTAACATAGCCTTCACGGCATTTCCTTAGTTCTTGTGTTAAGACGTTTATATTCTACACCTAGTAAATTTCACATGTACCCTTGTAAGATGCACCGTAGGTGTGGTCCCACCACTTACTCTCCCTCCACCCATCTTCCCTCCTCCCCTCTCCTCCCTCGCCCCTATCCCCTTCTTCTTGGGCTATAGTTGGGTTATAGTTTTCATATGAAAGCTGTAAATTGGTTTCATAGTAAGACTGAGTACATTGGATACTTTTTCTTCCATTCTTGAGATACTTAGCTAAGAACAGTATGTTCTAGCTCCATCCATGTAAACATGAAGGAGGTAAAGTCTTCATCTTTCTTTAAGGCTGCATAATATTCCATGGTGTACATATACCACAATTTATTAATCCATTCATGGGTCGATGGGCATTTAGGCTTCTTCCATGACTTAGCAATTATGAATTGAGCTGCAATAAACATTCTGATATACATATCTTTGTTATAATGTGAGTATTGGTCTTCTGGATATATACCTAGTAGAGAAGTTGTAGGATCGAATGGCAGGTCTATTTTTAGATCTCTTAGTGTTCTCCAAACATTTTTCCAAAAGGAACGTATTAGTTTACATTACGCCAACAGTGTAGAAGTGTTCCCTTTTCTCCACATCCGTGTAGAAGTGTTCCCTTTTCTCCACATCCACACCAACATCTCTGGTTTTGGGATTCTGTGATGTGGGCTAATCTTACTGGAGTTAGATGATATCTCAAAGTAGTTTTTTTTTTTTTTGAGACAGAGCCTCAAGCTGTCCCCCTGGGCAGAGTGCCGTGGCATTACAGCTCACAGCAACCTCCAACTCCTGGG